CGTCCGCAGGTGAGGGGGAGGCAGGGATCTGGGCCCGGACACCTGGGATTTCAAGAAATGGATTGCGGGCTGGACATCAGAACTCCCGGAAAGGGATCTATTGGGTCCTGATGCATAGGTCCCGGAGGGGCTGCATCGGGTGCCTGAGCTTTGGGAGGGTGCATTGGTACCCGAATGCCATGCTCCCAAGGGGTTCGTTGAGGCCCGGACGCTTAGGACCCCGAGGGGGAAGTCCATTAGGGGTCTCTGGATCGCAGCACACTAGCCATGCTCATTCTGTGTCTTCTTCCAGGTCTCCCCTCTACCCTCCCCGGCTCCAGCTCCATACCGGGGATGAAACTTAGCGACAAGAAGGAGGGAGTTCACACGGCGTCAATGGACTGAGACTAAGCCAAGCGCCGGGTAAAGCTACCTAATCCCGCCCACTGAGCGCGTAGGCTCCTCCCCTGGGGCAGAGTTGCTGAGCAACCGACTTTGGGTCCTGTTTGTATAGCTCCACCAATCCCTGTCTTAGGTTCCGCGGCCGGTCCCTCAGTCTCTGGACGTAGGCCCCGCCCACTCCGCGCTCTTGAAGGCCCCGAGTTAAAGTTGTAGAGGCCCCGCCTACTCCACTCGAAGGCCCAAACCCTGGGACTAAGTTCCAAATGTACTGCTTCTGGGTGGGGTTTGCATAACCCCGCCCACTGTACTCTTAGGCCCCGCCTTCCCGCAGCGCCCGTCCTCCCCTTACAGAATTCCAGACTTAAATAGACCTTGCTCCAAAGCAGACTGACCCCTGACTATAGGCCCTCTAGCCCTATCCCCAACAGCCTAATAACCACTGGCGTCACCTCCTCTCCCGCCCTAGGCCCTCCCAGTAGGTTCCTGGGTCAGCAAGATGCAGGAGCGCGATGTGGAGTCTGCGGCTGGGGTCACGGATCCTAGTCCCACTGGCAAGGAGCCTGTGACCAAGGGAGAAGGTGAGCGCGGCCCCATCTGTGGGTAGGGGTCATTTTTCAGGAATTGGGACTAAGAGGGAATCTCAGGGTGAAAGTTTAAGGGCTCAGGGTGATAACCATTTCGGATCCCAGAAACGCGACGTTCTGGGGAGTCCTCCAGGTAGTCTTTGGGGATCTCAGCGATCACTTCTAGGGCTCAAGAAATTACAGGAGGGACAGGGGAGATGACATGAAGGATTTCCGGGTGATCACTTGGGAAGATACTGGAAACGGACATCTTAGCTTCGGGGAAGCCTTAGCTCTGGGGTCCAGCTAGGTAACCCTTTGGAGTCTCTTAGGATGATGCATGGCAGAGGGGTGAGGGGCAGGAATATGCCATTTGGGGAATCTCGCTGATTCTTGAGGTGCCCAGGTACACTGGAATATCAAGGTCGAAGGGGACAGCGGTCTAGACTCAGGGCGTTGGCTGCTTCCTGGAGCCCACCAACCCTCCTGTCCCCTAGCTCCCGACCAGGGCCCGACGCAGAAGCCCAGCCAGTCGGTTCCAGGGCCCGACACATCCGTGGGGGCGCCTTCCCGACCCCGCCGGCGGCCCCCGCCCCAGCGCCCGCACCGCTGCCCCGACTGTGACAAGGCCTTCTCATACCCGTCCAAGCTGGCCACGCACCGGTTGGCACACGGCGGCGCCCGCCCCCACCCGTGCCCCGACTGCCCAGCTCTCTCCTCCAGCTGCAGCCATCGCTCACGCACTCGCGCTCCGCCCACCCGTCGCCCCGCACCTGCCCAAGGCCTTTGGCCACCGGCTCCAACCCGTGCCCGCACTGTCCAAAGGCCTTTGGCCACCGCTCCAAGCTAGCAGCCCACCTCTGGACCCACGCGCCCGCCCGCCCCTACCCGTGCCCCGACTGCCCCAAGTCCTTCTGCTACCCCTCCAAGCTGGCAGCCCACCGCCACACGCACCATGCCACGGACGCCCGCCCCTATCCATGCCCGCACTGCCCCAAGGCTTTTTCATTCCCTTCCAAGCTGGCCGCCCATCGCCTATGTCACGATCCCCCCACCGCACCGGGCAGCCAGGCCACTGCCCGGCATCGCTGCTCCAGCTGCGGCCAGGCATTTGGCCAGAGACGCCTCCTACTCCTTCACCAACGAAGCCACCACCAGGCTGAGAGCCAGGGGGAGCGGGAGTGAGCCCACCCCTTGGCTCACTGGCTCCCTCTGCCGCCAGTCCCGATCAATAAAGAGGTGGCATCTCTAAGCCTGTATGGACTTGCCTCTTGCAGATAGCCGGAAGGGAGGTTGGCTCTACACTGGCTCAAACTTAGAAGGCGGAGGAACTCGTTGTTTCGGGGTGGGGTTGGGAAGGGAAAGCGCCATCCAGAGAGTTAGTCCTGGGCCCCAAACCATGGACCTGGAGGTGTGGTTTGAAAGCCCTGGCTCTGGTTTTTCCCACTTAATCATTGGCAAGGGTAAAACACCTGTGGGCATCGTGTGCTGAAGGGTGTGGGGAAACAGGTTCTCTCCTTATTGTTGGGAGTTTAAATTAGTGCCTGCACTTTGGCCATTGACTGTATCTATAAGAAACAAAATACACATATGCTCATGTCACCTATCGCACTTCTAGGAATTTATCCTTTAGATAAACTCAAACACGTGAAAAAAGGTATGAGAGTAAGGATGTTCACTGCAGTGTGGAGGCTGTGGCCAAAGACGGAAAACAGCCTGAATGCCCATCAATAGGGGACCAGTTAAGGAATTCCAGTTCGGCCAGAGAATGGAAGATGCAGCTGTAGGGGAAAAAACTGCAGCTCTACATGTACTGACATGGAAGGATTCCCAAGATAATACTAAGCGATAAAAGCAAGAACAAAGAGGTATACTACCGATAGCATAAAAATCTTTTTAAAGCCCAAGCTTTGGCGCCAGCCCTGACCCACTACTTAAGAGCCTCAGGGTCTCAGACAAGCTCTGTCACTTCTCCAGACTTAGATGCCTTATCTATAAAACGAGAGTGTTATAGGGCCTCCACAAGCATCATCTCAGGCAGACAGTTCCCCTCTTGGAGCCTGTTTCTCCAGCTGTAAAACAAGGATGACTGAGCTGACGTTGGACTGTTCTTCATTCTACAGATGTGTATTAAGCAGGTACTGTGCGCAGGGCCACACGCAGGGTGTTAGGAACACAGCAGTTAGGAACACCTGGTCTAGTGAGGGAAGTGGACACCAGTCAAGTCGTGGCAAAAACAAGGTAAAGGAGCAGAGTCCACTTTGAAAATCAAGTAGGGAGCCTTGTCTCCCCTCTCACCAAGAATGATTACAAAGCTGTGGTAATGAGGCTCGTGGTGTTGGCTTGGGAATAGGCTAATGGGAGGGCACTGAGCACTCAGATACAGACCTGTGCTTAGAGGCATTCTCATAAAACCTTATTTACAAAAATTGTAGATGGGCTGGATTTTGCCTGTGGACTGTGGTTTGCCAGCCCCTCCTGTAGACGAGTTGGGAAAGGATAGGCTGATCTGCGAATGAGCTGATAGGGAAGAAAATTAAATGGGATCCTGTGGTAGGCAGAATGATGGTCCCCTCAAAGCTGCTCCTAATCCCCAGAACCAGTATGTCGGCACATACGTGGCAGAAGGGACTTTGCAGATGTGCTGGAGGGTCTTATGTTGAGATGGGAGATGATCCTGATTATTCCAGTAGGCCCAATGGAATCACAAGTGTCCTTACATGGGAAAGAGTGGAAGAATCAGAGTGGGAGACATGACAATGGAAGCAGAGACTAGAGTGATGCGGGGCCAAGAGTCAAGGACTGCAGGCGGCTTTTAGAGGCTAGAAGAGGCAATGGATCCTCACTTAGGGCTTACAGAAGGAACATAGCCTGTCCAGCACCATGATTTTAGCCCACTCAGACTGACTTTGGACTACCAATCTCCAGAACTATAAGAAAATAAATATGTGTTGTTTAAAGCCACTACGCTTGAGGTAATTTGTTACAGCAGCGTAGAAACTGACAAAGATCTCTACCCCAAGAGCACACACAAAAATAAGTTTCCAGTGACCTAAGATCTGAGTTTGAAACACAAATCTCTAAAGCATTCAGATGGAAATAAAGGAGAATATCATAGTAACCTCATAAGTAGAGAAAGTTATCTTTTAAGACACAAAAAGTACAAATTGTAAAGACTGGTATATGTGACCATAAGCAAACCAAGTTACAAACTGTGAGATACACAGTATTACAAGGGTGTATACCTGGCATTTCCTGTTAGACAGAGGGTTAGGAAAGACCTTGAGGAACTACTGTTTGAGCTCATTATCAGAAATGGAGGACAGGATGAGATGGTTTGTGGAATCCCCAGCAGAAGGATGGAACCAATTAGGCTGAGGGACTGGGGGCTACTCAGCAAGGCCTTGGGGGAGGAGAAGGATCCCTCCTGCAAACCCGGCAGTATGGCTTGTGTCCTGGAAGATTTCCTCCAAAGCAACCACACTACCATCAGAGTTTCGAGGACACAAACTCATTTGAGAGGTGCCGATCTGGTCCAACCTTACCTGGTCCAGATGCGAAAGCTGAGGGTTAAGAGAGATGGGATTTGGCCACAACCAAACCAGGGGGCAGCGTGGAGTCAGGGTGGACGCTGGGCCTCCTGATACCCCAAAGCCTTGCTGCTCCTTGCACGTGTTCTGCCTGAGGACCTTTGCACTTGCTTTTCCTCTGCCTGGAATGGCTCCCCCAGACCCTCCCTTACTTCTCCCAAGTGCCTGCAGAGGGGTGAGTCCTGAGTCGCCTTCCCCGATGACCCTATCACTCTACTCTCTATATGACACTGCCCTGCTTTTTCTGCTCATGTAGCATTTATCATTGCCCAACGCTGCAGGGCACCCACCATCTCCCTCCTCCAGCAAAACCTCAGCCCCTTAAAAGCAGGAATTCATAGAGTGAAGGGTATAGTTCAGTGGTAGAGCACATGCTTAGCATGCACGAGGTCCTGGGTTCAGTCCCCAGTACCTCCATTAAATAAATAAACAAACAAACCTAATTACCTTCTCTCCCCCACAAAAAATAATTTAAAAATCTAAAATATTAAAAAATAAATAAAATCAGGGACTCGTGTCTGTTTTTTCACACATCTGAGCTCCATGTGTTTCACACGTGGTGAGTGTGGTTGGCAGAATAATGGCCTCCCACAGATGCTCACGTCGTAATCCCTGGAACCTACGAATATGTTACATGGCAAAGGTGAATTAAGGCAGCAAAGGAATTAAGGTTGTTAATCAGCTGACTTTAAAACAGGGAGATTATCCCAGGTTATCCGGGCAGGTGCAGTGTAATCAGCAGGATCTTTAAGCGTGGAAAATGAGACAGAAATCAGTGTCAGTGATACAGCCTGAGACTCAACTGGCCGCTGCTGGCTTTGAAGATGGAAGATGAATGGAACGTAGGCAGCTGCTAGAAACTAGAAGATACCAGAACAAAGACTGTCTCCCGAAGCCTCTGGAAGGAGAGCAGCCCTGCCAACACAGATGTTTAGCCCAGTGTGACCCATTTAGAACTTCTGACCTCCAGACCTAGAGTTACACATTTCTTTTGTTAAGATACTAAGTTTGTGGAAATTTGCTACCTGGCTCTGACCCTGCCCTTTGTGCTACGACCTCTTCCTGACCTTCCCACTCCCAGGAGGAAGTCCAAGCTTCTCGGCCTGCTGTCCACAGCCCTTTGGGACAGCCCTGTCCTCTTGCTTTCTACAGTGATGGCAATGTTCTCCATTTGTGCTGTCCAGCCCAGCAGCCAGTGAGCTGTGACCAGTGTGACTGGGGAAGTGAATTCTTCCTTTCATTTCATTGTTGTTAAGTTTAAATAGCCACCCGAGGCCACTGGCTACTGCACTAGATGACACAGCTACATGGACTGGGTCCACCTTTCCAGCTACATCTATCCCTAAAGCCTTGCCACCAAAGGGGCAACGCTCCTTCAACTGCCCCCAGGCACCAGGGTGGTTCCCACTTCCTGGCCTTCACCCACACTGTGGCCCCTGCCAGAATGCCTTCTCATCTTCTACACTGATTTTTTTTTTTAATGGAGGTACAGGGAACTGAACCTCGTGCGTGCTAAGCATACACTCTACCACTGAGCTATACCATGCCCCCCTACTCTGATTCTCTAACCCCCAGCTCAGTTCCCACCTTGAATATGGTGCAGCCTTGAAGGGGGTTCAGGATTTGGGTGGGTTGATTAAAGTGCCCATTCCCGCACTTCTACCTACCAAAAGAGATGATGCAAAACTAGGCTGATAATGGTTACCCAGCTACTTCTGAGAGCCCTGGAGAAAGGGAGATGTCCCTGGCCCAGGGGAGCTGAGACTTCAAGAGAGAGGCTCACCCCCTGAGCATCCTGGACTGCAGCCCAGGACCCACAGAGGGACAACCAAGACACAGGAATGCACTCAGAGCATCAGAACCAGCAGAGGGGTGGTGCTGAACATCAGATTCCCAATTCCCTGCCGCCTGCCACCATAGGCATGAGGGGCCAGGGAGAAGTGACAAAGAGCTCCTCCCCTACCAGACCCGGATAGAGAGCCCTTTGTTCCTCCGGGACCCCAGCGCAGGAGTCACCAGGCAGTCGGAAGACCTGGCTCTCAGAGGGGAAGAAAAACCAAACAGAAGACTGAAAGCTGGGAGCCTATTGGGGGTGCTGGGAGACTCAAGCGAGAGGGACAGCTGCTCCAAACCAAGTCACCTTTATTAACCTCGTGTGTGTGTACACGTGCGCACAAGCACATGCTTCAGGCCTGGGGCACCACCCCGTAGAGTTGGTAGGGAAGTAACTTCTGCTTCTCGTTGCAGCTGTAAATCCATCGGGGGCGGACGAACACCAAGGAGGGATTGTCCATCAAGGCCTGCGTTGTTGGGTGGGGCGCACACGGGAACTGGTGAGCCGGGAGGGGATGGAGGGGATGTGAAGGCAGGTTGGGTCTCCCTCTGGGACTCACCTCCTCAAAGCTGGGGTCCCACTCCTGTGCCGTGATCACAAACTGGACCCGGTCGCTCATATAGTCCTCAAGCTCCCTGGCAGGAGGCAGAAAGAGGCAGAGAATTGGTATCCCCTGTCCCCCTCTTGAAACCCTACTCCCCAACCACCCTTAAAGGCCATCCTCTCTCTGTCCCCACCTATGTCTCCTATGGACCACCTGTGGGTCCCCTACTCTCCCACATGCCACTTTTGCCACAGCCACAAAACTGGCAGCTCCCACTGTCACCA